AAAAAATGAAAAATAAAGAGAAAGATAAAGAGAAGAAGAAAGATGGAGAAGAAGAAGAAGAAAGGAAGAAAGGTTCGTGCTTTTATTATCGACTAGGGTTCATCCCCCCAAAGGGAGAGAATGAATTGGACGATTACAAAAATCTGCTATTAAAAGGGTGAACAGCGCGATATCCGCGGCCGCGGAGCGGCCCGCGGGCCGCGGTGAGTATGGGCTCCGCGGCCGCGACACGCTTGGAGGCCGCGACAATTTTCTGCTGAAGTCTGGGACGCCGGAAGGATTTTGGTCGCCGCGGCCGCGGAGAAGGAGGAGTCGCGGCCGCGGGAAATAGCTGCAGTAGATTTTGGGTTCGCGGCCTCCGCGGCCGCGGAGGTATTCCCGCGGCCGCGGTGAAGAAACTTGGCTGCACTGCGCGGCTTCACGGTTTTGCTTCGTTTGAGCTTGTCCGAACTCGGAATTAAGTTCCATTTTTTCCTACGCGTCGCTAACGAACCCCTCTTTCTAATGGTGTCAGCTTCCCCAAAAAATTCCCAGAAACCTGTTCTCCCGAAGCTCCCGACCTACACACCAAAAACGAAAACACAAACGGAAGACTACCAGAAAAAACATAAGAATTACCGGGGCACTCAAGACAACACAAAACACACGATAAATGACAAAATGAACCTAAAACCAATCAAATGACTCGAAATAGGGGAAAAAGAATGAGAAAATGACAACAAAAAAATGCAACAAAAATGGGACAAACAGTGTGCTCTATGACCTTTCTGCAGAACTCTTTGCAGGATATCGCACTCAGTCAGCGTGGAACACCGGCACTTGGACATTTTGTTACTGTGTTGTCCAAGTATTTTGGCGTTGATCAACAAGATCCCAAGCTTGACTAGTCTAAGGACAAGTCCGAGATGCGTTGTATCAATGAGCATGAGCTCAAGTCGTCCGACCTCATCAAAAATCGGACTACCATTCAGGGGTATACGCAGCGCAAAGCTTACTCGACATACTTCAAGAAGCTCCAGCAGCTCCAACAGAGCGCGCCAAACCCCGACCAGGCAGGGTCGTCTCGACAGCCGACGGGAGGCGACGAGCATGAGTAGATGAACATCGATGACGACCATTTCCTCCCACCTCCACCCATGTGGACACCGGCCCCGAACCCACAGCCGAAAGTTCCTCCACAGCAGCCACCGGGATAGTGGACCGCATTTCAGACGTAGTATACGGTCGACATCCGCTCTATCCACGATCGCTTTGATGCCCAGGACACCAGATTGGACGGTTTCGAGAGCCGGCAGCACACACAGTGGGCCGGCTGGGAGACCCAACAAAAGACTCAGTGGGATCATTGGGAGACCCAGCAGCAGACCCACTGGACTCAGATGGGTACGCACTTCAATGGCTTCAGTGATGGTCTCCGGTCTATTCGCGAGCGGCAGGACCAACAGGATGTTAGGATGGACAGCTGGGATCAGAGATGCATACAGTGGGACACCTACTGGAGCTCGGGACCCGGTCAGCCTTACCCACCACCGCCACCACCGGACGCACAGTGACTTGTCACTGTGCTTTGTATGTTCTCTTTTCCCTTTCTTCTTCATTTTTGTATAGTTTGTTTGCTTTTCGTGTCGGTTGATTATATGGTCTACTCTCTTTCACTGCGAATCGACAATGGGGACATTGTCGATTTTAAGTGTGGGGGAGTTTTACGTGCTTACGTGACTATGTGGTAGACCAGGTCTAGTTTTTCTTTTTAGGGTTGATTTTATTTCTTTCTCTTCTTGATCTGTCCACTTATCTTGTTCAAAGCAGAAGGCTCGATTACATTGACCTTTCTTTCGATGGTAATCCGCCTGTCTCGCAACGGCTTTCGCGCTAGTTGCTCAATCCCTTGATTGTTCAGTCCGTCGACTGTTAGGAGTGACTGTTGGACTGACAGAATCAGTAGACTGCTTGATAGACTGGTTGTCTAGGTCAAATGGAATTGGGGGGTCCCCTTCCCCGCGGAAGGCCAACATCCTTTTGTCGCCCGTTAGCAAGACCGAAACTAGATGGGGCGAGCTGCCTAAGGTCTTGACCCTTACCAATCTCTTGTTGATTTTGAGTCATTTTCTTTTTTCTTGTATGTGGGATCCTCTTAAGCCCTGACCGGATAGAGTCTGTCTACCAAGCTCGATTATAAGAGATAAACCAGAGTTTGGCAGAACGGGCCGTACCACGTTCTTAGATCGATTCAGGAGGCCCTCCTGTCTCAACCTAACCCCGTCGGGTGGACCAGTCTAGTGTAGGTTTTGTGTGTTTTGGAGCCTGTATTTTGGAAAATTCATGATGAGTTGAGACGTGTATATTGAATTCGATGAGTTGTGATGATGGTATTATATGGCATAGCGTGATGAAATGCTTGGTTAATAGCTTTGATTGACATTCATATATTTGCCTAATGAGGTTTGAGCCTTATTTCTTTCTTGAGATACATTGGTCGTGCTCTTGTTTGATTAGAACTTGCTCCGAGTCTGCATCGAAATTAATCAATTTGGGTTGTGAACTGTGAATATGATTAAGGCATTTTTTGTATTTTTCTTTTATTTTTCTTTTCTGCAGTTATTCCCTAGTTGTCATTTTGAACCTAATTATTTTTTTATATAACCTCGTGATGGTGACATTGTTTGAGTCTCAGGTTGAGAATGGGAGGAGATAATTGTGGAGTTTTGTCTATATTTCGTTGTCTTATTAAAAAAAAATTGTAGCCGAATGGATTGTAAATGTCCAAAGAGGTTACACAAAAAAAAAAAAAAAAAAA